TTTATAAGATCTTAATGTCCAAGAATCCAAATTAGCGCGGCTCTGTCCGAGGGGTATGAGAAACTAATCTGAGTGTAACGGTGTGTTAATGCGATCTCGGGAGCAGGGACCCAAGCCACTGCCCACGCTGTGAGTTATAGCGCCGGGCCATCAATAGACTCCATCAACCAGGGCCTGATTCCGAAGGCTTAACAAGAAGTTCCCAGGAAGGCCCCCGGTGACGGGAAGGGTCAGCTGTCACTGAAGGTTGACATCCTCCTCCCGGGCGGGGCCTGCAGAGCGACTTCTGTGCGGAGTCCCGAGTGAAATCCACATTTCACGTTCAGATTTCAGAGTTCTCCAAAGGAAGCTGCTTGTGCATGCCGTGAGTGACAAGGACCTCGGGAGGGGAGGAGGCTGGGAGCCCTGATTAATCCACCTCCCCTCTCCGCATGCCTGACTTCCTGAGCGAGCTGACCCGCGTGTCTGCCTGAAGTCTAAGGGGTGGGCCGCTTCAAACAGGGCATCAATACACTTCAGGATAATTAAGTGCCTAATTGAGTGTCCCGATTCAGCTGAAGCGCTTTCTGTGGCGACTTGTCACGTCTGGGGCGCCAATTCCGCCGTGTGTCTAGGTTTACATGTTTTTCTCTTGCGTGTCTGCGTGCCTTTTGTGGCGTGTGTTTGTATGGTATGTGGGTATGGTGTGTGTGTATGGTGTGTGTGTGTGTGGTGTCTGTGTAGTGTGTTTGTATCTGCTGTGTGTGTTCTCTGGGTGGCATGTAGTGTATTTGTATGTGTCTATGTAGTGTGTAGTATGTATGTGATGTGTGTGTACGTGTGTGAGTGTGCATGGGTGCTTGCACACCCATGGCTGAGCACATGGAGGCCATAGGAGGGAATCAGTTGCCTTCCCCCGGCTCTCCCCCATATTTCCTTGAGGCAGGGACTCCCCTCCAACATGAAGTCTGCTGTATGGTGAGCTCTCAGAATCTGCCTGTCTTCATCCTGTAACAATGAGGTTACAGCATGCCTTAGTGTGTGTGTGTGTGTGTGTTTTTTGTTTTGTTTTGTTTTGGTTTGGTTTGGTTTTATGAGACAGGGTTTCTCTGTATTGTTTTGGAGGCTGTCGGTCCAGCCCGGCCTCGAACTCACAGAGATCCGCCTGCCTCTGCCTCCCGAGTGCTGGGATTAAAGGCATGCGCCACCACCGCCCGGCGTGTGTGTGTGTGTGTGTGTGTGTGTGTGTGTGTGTGTGTGTGTGTGTGTGTTTTACATGGACGCTGGGGATTTGAACTCAGGACCTCGAGTCTGTACACGCTAGGGTAGCAGCACTCTATATAAGTAAGCTGCATCTTCAGTCAGCTCCCATTTTCATAAGGCCCTAATCCCAACCACAAAGGTCCTGTGTTCATGCTGTTATCTTCTGGAGCTTTCCCTGCCTGTTAATGCCATCACTTTGCAGGTCTAGCATTTCAACGCTAGACACAGACATCCGGACCGTAACAAAAAGAAAAAAAAAACCTCACGTATTGATAATTTTTTCAGTATGGCCTTTATCGGCAGATTTTTCTCTTGGGGGGGGAGAAAGGGAGTTACTACTTTTTGGAGGGTCATTGCTTTGACTCCTGCATACTTAGTTAAACATTTATGAAGTACTTACTGTATACACCAATCCTATGTAGTTCGGTCTTAGCCCACATTGTCTGATCTGGGGTTGTCATTCTAAGTGGGATCTTGGCTTGACACCTCAAATGATCATGGGGTACCAGTATGTGTAGAAATCCCCAGAGCTTTGGGGAGCAGGCCCCTTTCTCTCTCTCTCTCTCTCTCTCTCTCTCTCTCTCTCTCTCTCTCTCTCTCTCTCTCTCTCTCTCTCACACACACACACACACACACACAACTGAAGATGTGGAGTCTCCAGCAAGGCCCACGCTGCCGTCTTCTGGCTGAGAAATCTATTTTCTAATGTCTCAGAAGGGATGGCATGGCCGAGTTAGAGCGGTAAGACAAAGCGACATGATTTATACAGTAGGATGTGTCCTTTTCTGCGTTAGCTTTCCTTCACTGGAGGAGGGAGGGTTTTGCTACCCGGGCTCACGGTTTCCAAGGTTCCGGTTCCTGGTTGGCTGGCTGCGTGGCTTCGGGCTGAGACAAGACAGAGACAGAAGCCGGGTGGTGGTGGCGCACGCTTTTTATCTCAGCACTCGGGAGGCAGAGGCAGGCGGATCTCTGTGAGTTCGAGGCCAGGCTGGTCTGACAGCCTCCAAAACAATACAGAGAAACCCTGTCTCATAAAACAAATAAACAAACAAAAAGAGACAGAGGAGGCAGAGGAGGCTGGCCATTAACCGCATCTGGGAAGCAGATTGCAGAGGGGCCAGAGCGGAGGTAGACCTACAAAGGCACACCCTCATCCTTGCGCCCGGGAAGCTCCGTCTCTCGGCTTCTGCCGCCTCCCAGCAGTCCCGTTATTACATTTCACGTGTTTCCTGTGCGCGCGTGGAAGTCTGTAGCCTCCTTCCAGCACGTGGGTCCTGGGGACCAAGCTGAGGTTATCGGGCTTGGCCGCAAGCCCTCCTTACCCACAGAGCCAGCTAGCTGGCCCGGCCAGTGGGCCTCTCCGTGACAAATCACCGATGGCTTGACACACTGGGATCCGAGTCGTCGCCGCGAAGTCCCACACAGCGAACACTGCTGCCGCAGAGCCCAAGCCTCTTAGGGGACATGTCACATCTGAGCCAGCGTTCCTATCCCGCGTCTCGCTGTAATGCAGGAACTTCCTATGTGCGCACACGTTGAGGAGGCAGTGTGACAAACCCCAAATTAATTAAAGCCTAAACGAATGTTTTATTACTTCCACATATGCAGGTGGTGTTGATTACGCCCATCATATTTCTCCCCCTACACACACACACACACACACACACACACACACACAAATAAAATTTTTTAAAAAGGTATCATGTCAGGCTGGAGATTTTGCTCAGTGGTTAAGAACATTTGTTGCTCTTTGCAGAGGACCTGGGTTCAGTTCCAAGTGCCCATGTGGTGGCTCACAACCCTCTGTAACTCCAGCTCCAGAGACCTCATGTCCTTTCTGACCTCCACAGGCACCAGGCATGCGTGCGGTGTACATACATACATACATACATACATACATACATACATCATACATACATGCAGGCTAAACACTCATTCACATAAAATAATCAAATAGATAAATCTTTAAAAATTAAAAAGCTGCGGGGCGGTGGTGGCGCACGCCTTTAATCCCAGCACTCGGGAGGCAGAGGCAGGCGGATCTCTGTGAGTTCGAGGCCGGGCTGGACCGATAGCCTCCAAAACAATACAGAGAAACCCTGTCTCATAAAAACCAAAAGAAAAAAATTAAATTAAAAAGCTATTGTGTGTTTTAAGTCCTTGCGTTCCACTGAATTTTGAAGTATTTTGAAAGCCAGTCATTTTTCCTGTGGTTCTGACTAGGGCTGTGGGTCTAGCCTTCCCACTGGGCTGTTCTGGGTCTCACACTGCCTCGGGTCTGAAAGGGAAGGGCTGTGTAATAAGGTCGACTCAGAAGGCCAGGGCCAGTTTTCCCAGTGGGTTTTAATTGTCATGGCAAAAGAATGGATTGTTCTCCGGAGTGAGACAACTGGTCTCTGGGAAAAGACTCTGGCTTTGAAAGAGTTGCCATGACAACCTCTGCCTTTAGGGTAGCATTGGAGTTTTATGAAAACAAAGGACTTGGCTTTGGGTTAAGTTGGTCACCATGGAAGTGTGCCGCAGCAGGCAGACCTCACCGGTTCCCTTCGCTCCTGGGGACATTTGTTTTCCTTCTGAGACTCGGATGCTCCGCTCAGCGCTGGGTGGCCGTCTCCTGCCTCCCTCTGGCATCTTGGACCCTGTAGGAGCCCGGTGGTGTCTGCAGAATAAGATACGTTTTCTCTAAGACAGCAAGGCTCTCTGCTGGCTGGGCACAGCCTTCACCATGTGTTTACCGCTCCCCAAACACAGGCTTTAACCCGGGAAGAAGAATTTTGTGCACTGGAACACACTGTGTGTGTCTCTGCCCACCAGTCTTCCTCCCTGTCCCTTTCTCTGGCCATAGCGTGCTGTTTGTCCCTTGAGTGGGGCCACTAACATCGCCAGGACAACGAGTTATTTCTCCTAAGGGGGATATGGCATCGGCGCCTTCATGGCGTTCAGGAGATGATTGTGTGTGGATTAAAGTCTGAAAGCGACTCAGGTGGCAGAGGAAAACCCATTGTGTGTGTGTGTGTGTGTGTGTGTGTGTGTGTGTGTGTGTGTGTGCATGTATGTATGTATGTATGTATTCTGGCTGTCTTCTCCTTTATTTTTATCTCCACTCATTCAGTTCATTTTGGCCTTTGCAACTTTTTGTGGAGTGAAAAACCCACTTATTTTTCTTGCGTGACTATGGCTGGTGGTGTGGGCTTCCTCCTTGACCGAGGGTTGTTTTAAAGAGGCGTCTTTAAATTCCAGGTTCGGATTATTTTTTTTTAAATTGACCTCTTACAGGTGATTTCTAGTTTCACTAAATTGGCACATCCTGTGACGGAATTAGACATTTTTCCACTCGTGACACTTCCTCCGCTCCCATGGTTAAGCTGGTTATGCCTAAGCAAGCACGTTGCGTGGCCTCTCGGTCACTTGCCGCAGAGTCACAAACTCTGTGTCCCCACCACGAATGGAGACCTGCACACCAAAGCATCTCCCTTGTGATTTTTCTTTCGAGAATCCACCCCTCCGTTTCTTCCGCTGTGCTTAGTACACTTTAGCTCCAGCAGCTGGTATTTGTGTTAGCGACTCCACCGTCTTCACCAGGAAGCATTCCTTCTGGCTCAAAGTGGGCTTCCTTAGCTGGCAGCTGCCTGGTAACCGTTCATCATCCATTTGAGTGTACGCCGTGCTCCGGCCAAAATGCTGAAGAGAACCACGGCCCGGGCCCCGCCTCCACAGAGCTGCCGCGGGGGGGGGGGACCACACGACTGTGATACAACCTTCCCAGGCACGCATTGGTGCACACTGACACAGTCTTGTGCCCTGCACACCCCCGAATGCACACTCATCTATATGCTCACGTGCACACACGCACACGCACACTTTTAGCTGTAAGATGTGGTATTAGGAAAGGAATCAGGAAAGGCACAGACGAAACTGACCATTTTTGCCTTCTCCAAAGACTGCATGATTTTATAGTCTGTGATGGTCCGGGTGAAATATCGAGTTGCCAGAAGATGGAGTCGCCTGGGAGGTGAGCCTCTCTGGGCATGCCTGTTGGTGGGGGTTGTCTTGACTGTGTGAGCTGGGTGAGCCTCATCTCAGCGGTGGGAAGGTCCATTCGGCAGGGACCGCGGACTGGATAAGGTTGACGAAGGGGAGTAAGTACTAGTTTGCATTCACTCATTTCTCTCTGCTTGCTGACTGTGGCTGCCATGTGAGTGACCATGCGGTGCTGGGAACGGCGCCTGGGCCCTCTGTGGGAGCAACAACGAACGCTCTAACTGCGGAGCCATCTCTCCAGCCCAACGTGTGATGTGTTCTGATCAAATCCCTGCCTTCCCTCCCCTGTGGCCCTTACCCGGTTCGCTCCCAGCTCCGTGAGCTCTTTCTTTATTTTTAACTTAATTCCCACTGAGTCCATCTGGTGCTGCCTGTAAGCCGCGCATAATAGTTCTCTGGAAAAACTTAGAACCAGGCATGAGGCTCACACTAGTGCCTCCCGTGTATGCATGTTTGTGTATGTGTGTGCGCATGTGTATGTAGGTGTGCACATGTGTGCATGGTGTATAAGTTTGTGTGTGCATGTGCGGATGTGAGTTTGTGTGTGCGTAGCACATCTGCATGTGTACGTGTGTGTGCATGTAGGTGTGCACATATGTGCGTGGTGTATAAGTTTGTGTGTGTATGTATGTGAGTTTGTGTGTATGTGTGTGCATGTGCGTGTTGGTGTGTACATGTGTGCGTGGTGTATAAGTTTGTGTGTGCATGTACGTATGTGAGTTTGTGGGCATACAGTGTATGTATATATGTGTATATTTATATATGTCTGTGTGTGGTGTTTGTTTATGTGTGTTTGTGTGGCATGTGTATGTGTACAGTGTATATGTTTGTGGTATGTGTATGGTGTGTGGGTATGGCATGCATATGTGTGCAGTATGTATATTTGTGGTGTGTGTATGGTGTGTGTGTGGCATGTGCATGTGTATAGTATATATGTTTGTGGTGTGTGTGGCATGTATATGTGTTCAGTATATATGTGTGTGTGGCATGTATATGTATGTAGCATATATGTGTATGGTGTGTGTGTGTCATGTATATGTGTACAGTATATATGTGTGTGTGGCATGTATATGTATGTAGCATATATGTGTATGGTGTGTGTGTGTCATGTATATGTGTACAGTATATATGTGTGTGTGGCATGTATATGTATGTAGCATATATGTCTGTGGTGTGGTGCATATGGTGCATGTATTGTGTCTCCCCAGGAAAGGTCTCTCACACAAGCACACACAAGCATCGGGCATTTGCCCCCCGCCTAGCGCCCGCAGGCCCTGGCGTCCGAGCTGATCTTCAGGACGCCATCCCGCTAGGCTTGAAGGACACAGACTCATCTCTCGCTGCCGTTCACCCCTACGGCCTCACCTAGCAGCCAATGGACCGGGAGTGTTGGAAAGGATACTTAGATGATGGGGGGGGGGATCTTCAAGGTTTCCACTCTGCTTAACTTTAACAAATAGAATATATATCAGCTAATGAATATTTCAGTCTTTCACGTAGGAGCCGAGAATGTAATTATGGATTTGATTTTGCCGACTGTTGCTGCCTGCGGTAGTCAGAGATCACAAATCGCATTAAATGAAAGGTGAACCCCATTACGGCATCGGGAAAATGGAGCTTAATAAGTTTTATAATTATGGGGCAAATCTATGCAAATTGCCATTTTTTATCAGGCAATTTTCCATCTTCATCTTGGCGCTAATAGTCCATTAGACTTGTGGCAGCCGGTGCCTCTGTTATGGGAGCTCCCGGGTTTCTTTCTGGATTGTTCTCTGTCGCAGAGACATGGTGTTTGGGGGCGGAATAGCTACAGATCGTTTTGCTTTCTGTTTCGGATCTCTTTAAAAATAACAAGACTTGAATTCTGTTCTCAGCAAGAACTCGAGTGAGCAGTTAATACCTTCTTTTACAGAGACTGAGAACCACGAGAAGCCAAGTCCGAGGCACCGTTTTGTTTAGGTTTTGAAACAGCTACAGAGCCCAGGCTGGCCTGTGAGTCACAGAGGCCCAGCTGCTTCTGCCTCCCAGGTGCTGGGATTAAAGGCGTGTTTTAATTAGGGTGAAACACTAGGACCAAAAAGCAAGTCGGGGAGGAGAGGGTTTATTTGGTTTACATTCCACATTATAATCCGTTACTTAAGGAAGTCAGGACAGGAGCCTGGAGGCCAGAGCTGATGCAGAGGCCACGGAGGGTGCCGCTGACTGGCTTGCTCCTCACGGCTTGCTCAGCCTGCTTTCTTATAGAACCCAGGACCACTACTCACAATGGGTTGGGCCCACTAATTAAGAAAGTTCAGTTCTACAGGATTGCCTCCTGCCCCGTCTTATGGAGACATCTTCTCAATTGGGTCCATCCAGCCAGCACAGCATCTGACTTTGCTATTGCTGTTTTGAGACAGGGTTTCACCCTCTAGGCCCAGGCCCGCCTGGAAATAATGGGAATCCTCCTGCCTCAGCCTTCCCTAGTGATAGGATTACAAGTATGAAGCCTGGCTAAAGCTATCAAATTTTTTTTTTTTTTTGGTTTAAGAGACAGGGTTTCTCTGTATTGTTTTGGAGGCTGTCGGTCCAGCCTGGCCTCGAACTCACAGAGATCCGCCTGCCTCTGCCTCCCGAGTGCTGGGATTAAAGTCGTGCACCACCAATGCCCAGCTAAAGCTATCAATTTTTGAAGTGGTTTTTGTTCTTGTTTTTTTCAGCACGGGGTTTCTATAGCTGTCCTGAAACTTCTCTCTGTAGATCAGATATCTACCTGCATCTGTTTCCTGAGTGCTGGGTTAAAGGCGAGCGCTGCCAACCACCTCCTGGTGAAGTGATTTTTTTAAAAAGAGAAAGATTTATTTTAATTATAAAACTAAAATTATTTTAATAATAATTTCATATTATTATAAATAAAGGGGGTATGTGTAACCTGAGTGCAGTACCAACAGAGGCCAGAGGAGGGCATCAGCTTCCCGGGGAGCTGGGATTACAGGCAGTCGTGAGCTGCCTGATGTGGGCCCTGGGAACTGAACCCAGGTCCTCTGCAAGAGCAGTGTGTGCTCTAAACCACCGAGCCATCTCTCCAGCCTTGATTCTGTTTTTCTTTGCTTACTCTTCACCCTCATCTGAGGTGTCATGTTTTAACACAGGGGCTTATAACAACAGATTTATTTATTTATTTGGTTTTTGTTTTGTTTATTTTTTTGGTTTTTCGAGACAGGGTTTCTCTGTATTGTTTTGGAGGCTGTCCTGCAACTCGCTCTGTAGACCAGGCTGGCCTGGAGCTCACAGAGTTCCGCCTGCCTCTGCCTCCCGAGTGCTGGGATTAAAGGCGTGCACCACCAACGCCCGGCTCAGCAGATTTATTTTATTGTTTTGTGTTTTGCCTGTTGCACCCATGCGGCCACATATGTATCTAGCGCCCTCTGGTGTCAGAAGAGGGCGTCAGGTCCCCCGGAACTGGAGTTACAGGCAGGTGGGAGCTGCCACGTGGGCGCTGGGAACCTAACCCAGGTCCTCGGGAAGAGCAGTCAGTGCTCTAACTGCTGAGCCGTCTCTCCTGCACCCTGCACTGGAATCTAGGAGTGTGCTGTCTGTCTCCTTTCTTAAGGGTTCCGTCTGCATCACCCAGACTCGTCCTGAAATTCGGTTGGGATCCCGCGGCACGTGGGTGGCGTTCTAAAGTGGGTCAGTCCCTCAGGCTGCAGTTGGCGGTGAGGGTCCCTCCTGCAGCCACCCGGCTGACCCCAGACATGCAGAGAAGCAAGACAAACGGTGGGTTCTTTGGATTCTCTGGACATATGAAAAGATGTATGGATGCTGTATGGGGTTCTGGTTTGAGCAACAGGGTGGACAAAAGGCAGTGTTCACACAGACACACACCATCACGCCACTGGCTGCATGTCTCAGAACATACGTCCGCCTGGAGAAGAGTTTCTGTGCACACAATTGAATCTTGGGACTGGACCCGGCAGTTGGGACTGGAGAGATGGCTCAGTGGTTAAGAGCACTTCCAGAAGACCCAGGTTCAATTCCCAGCACCCGTATGGCTGTTCACGCCTGTCTGTAACCCTAAGATCTGATACCCTCACACAGACAGACATGCAGGCAAAAACCCGAGAGAGAGAAAGAAAAAGAGAGAGAGAGAGAGATTGAGAGAGAGAGAGAGAGAGAGAGAGAGAGAGAGAGAGAGAGAGTCTTGAGAGAGAGTCTTGGGGCTGCAGAGATGGTTCCGGGGTTTAAGAGCACTTGACTGCTCTTCGAGAAAACCTGGGTTCAGTTCCTGACAATAATGTTGGGCAGCTCACAGCTGCTTGTAAATCCAGCTTCATGGGAATTAGATGCTCTCTTCTGGGGACTTGCACTTACAGGTATTAAGAATAAAAATATTTTTTACAAAAGAATCTTGAGAACATTCTAGATGATTCTGGAAGGTATAGGGAGGTTTGAGACATACGTGAAGTCCACATAGCCAAGAACCACAGGGGCTAAGGAACTGTGAAGTTCCCAGAAACAAAGAATCCACACCTGTGTCAAAGATTCTACAAGGCTGAATGACTGTCAGGCTTGTGGAGAGTTGGAATATCGCAGATCTAGAGCCAAACTGCCAAATTATCTCGGGCCATTCTTTCCTGCTGCTGTGTGTCTCAACTAATTTTTTTTTTTGAAACAGGGTTTCTCTGTGTAGCCCTGGCTGTCCTGGAACTCATTAGACCAGGCTGGTCTCGAACTCACAAGAGACCCACCTGCCTCTGCCTCCCGGGGTGTTGGGATCGAGAAGGCGTGAGCTGCCTCCGCCCAGCTTCACCCAACATCTTTTTAACGCTCAAGGAAGACTTTTTGGAATGAACCGGCCAGGTCAGTAGCTCCCGCCCACCCGAAAGCCCAGCATCTGAGACGCATTAATCAGACGGCGTCTGATGCAACCCCTCCCACCCCATGTACGAGAAAATCAAACCAGAACGAGCTAAAGCGACGTCCCAGGCGCCGAGAGTTGCAACTAGCGCAGCAGACGGCTGAATGCAGGGGCTCTGGAGTCGGGGGACAGAGGGTGGGGGACAGAGGGTGGGTGAGGCCCGCCCACCCGAGAGGCGCTTGTACCTCCTGAGTTGTTAATGGACACCTGCAGTCTGGGAAGCTGGATTTGCTTTTTTTTTTTTTTTTTTTTTTTTTGGTGGTGGAAGAAAGGCGTTTCAAAACGGGCACAGAGAAGGGAGCAGACATTAATATACGCTTTAGCTGCGTGCGGGACAGATACTTCATAGAGAAGGGTGAAGGAGTAATCGTGGGAGCCAACCTCCCTGTTAGGAATCGTCAGAATTGTGTTAATAATAGCAATAAATATTTATTAGGTGTTTAGTCTGCTCAGTGCTGTTCTAAAAGCTTTAAATTATTAACTAATTTAATCCTTTCAAAAACTCCACGGGATAAGACTGCTGACTTAATCTATTTACAGTCAACACACAGGCGATGCGCGCCCAAGGTTATGCTTCGGGTAAGCACTGAGCCGAGGACAGAACGCTGGCTTTTCCTCCTCTAAACCTCTGGAAGGACACGAAAACGTGATAGAAAGTGGGTTTAGAAGGATGGCTCAGGGTCTAAGAGCGCATGTGTTAATCCTGCAGAGGACTTGCGTTCAGTTCCCAGCACACTTGTTGGGCAGTGCGCTACCTCTTCTAACCTCAAGGGGGTGCTACGCCCTCTGCTGGCCTCCAAGGACACTGCACTCATATGCAAACAGGCACCCGTATGATTAAGATGAATTTAAATGGAACAATAATAGTAGAGAACAAAGGGTGTAATAACCGAGATGTCTTTCTGCCTCGGCCTCCACGGTTCTGGGGTTTGGACTTGGTCTCCCCCCAACCCCTCGCAGTTATAGCGATTTCCCAGGCACCCTGGGGCGCACAGTTTACCCCATAACAACACGCTCCACCACAGAGACACATCCCTGCGGAGTAGATGACATGGGAATCATAACCCTCCAGGTGCGTACTTCAGTCTCTGCATCACCGTCATCTGAGACCACGTTCACTGCTTCAAAAGTCGTCCTTGTTGGGTCTGTGAGACGACTCTCAGCACATAAAGGGGTTTGCTGCCCTAGACCTACATGGAGAGAGAATTGACTCTCAAAAGCTGTCCTGTGACCTCCACATGTGTTCCACAGCATGCACGCGTGTGTGCGCGCACACACACACACAGGCACTCACACACACACTCACAGACACTCACACTCACACACAAATAAATAAAAGATCCTCCCAGTGGCACTCCTTCAACCTTGTATCCTCTATATTTTAAAAAAGATGTATTACTTTTACTTCATATGGATATGTTTTACACACATGTACATGTATGAGCTGTGTGTGCAGTACCCGCAGAGGACAGAAGAGGGCATATAACTTGAGGCAGCAACCCTAAGGGTTCCTCCCCCAAACAACATCAACTTGGGTTCAATTCCTACCTTCTTTGTGCGCTTGCATATGTACACAGTGGTCAGATCTGAGTGTCCCTCTCTATGGTCCCTCTGCCTCAATCCCTTGAGAAAAGTTCTCTCACTGAATGTGGACCTAGAAAAAATTTGACACTAGGCTGACAGACACAAAGCAACATTTGTCCCTGTCTCTGCCTAGTCATAGCACTGGGAGGGTACATGGTCATTCCTGGTTTTATGTGGGTGCTGGGGATCTTTGTGCTTGCCCCGCAAAGACTCTTACCCTAGGTTCTGTGGGAACACCAGAACTTGAGCAGAGACCCACTCCCCCATGGCCTGGGAGTAGGCAGCTGTAAGACAATGTTTACTAAAAACATGTTTACTAAAAACAATACAATGCCCGGGGCAATAAGTTCCTGAAAAGGGCTTGCCCCCGGGAACCGCCCTGTCCTCCACCTTTTCCAAAGACTAACCGCACCTTCAGACCCACCCACATCCATCTCTGGTGTCAGGGTATATAATAACCAGCCAGAGTAGGAATAAAAGAGAGCCTTCTTGAGGAGCCTTCGGGTCTATGTGTTGTCAATCCCCGACATCCTCCGCTCGTTCTCGGACACAGGCTGTGCAACAGGCGTGACAAGGTTCCACCTTATTTACTATTTTTTTTATGGGTGTGTCTGTGTGCACGAGTGCAGTGCTCGCAGAAGCCATCAGGGGGCGTCAGATTTTTTTTTCTGGAACTGGAGTTGTGGTCGGTTGTGCACTGCCTGGTGTAGGCACTGGGAACCAAACCCCCATCTTCTGCACGAGCCGCAGTGGGTTTTAGGAACTGAGTGGTCTCAGCCCAGTTTCCACTTAGGAGGGCACGTTCCAACCCCACTCAGATCACTGCATTCTCAGATTGCATGTTAGTGTCAGAAGAGCCTATCAGGGTGTGGAGAGGAGACTTATCCGTCAATCTGTCACGACACCCCCTCCCCCGGCCCTCAGGCTGGGCTCTGTGGGAGCCACACACCTGCTCTGTGGAGGTCTGGGCTTCCTGCAGGCTGACTGCTGAAGACATATAGGAAGTCACCTTGGTGGGAGTTAGTGGTTGTTACTCTGTAACTTCCCAAGGTGGGTGGATACTTTTTTAGTGCTGAATAATATTTCCTTATCTAGATGGGCGTTCACTGAAAACGTCTTTGTTGCCTCTGCGTTTTTTCACTTCTGTTAAGCTTTCTGTAAAGATCTGTGTGTGCAAATTTTAGTGTGGACTAAAGTTTTCTACTCGTTTGGGCAGACACAGATACAGACAGGCAGACAGACAGACGCAGAAGGACAGACAGACACAACCCAAAATAAACCTTAACAATTTTAAATACCCATAGTGGGCTGGACCCCCCTCCCTACCTGACCTTTCAGCAATCATGAAAATGCCCCACAAATTCGCCCCCAGGTCAGTCTGATGGAGGCCTTTTCTCAGTTAAGGTCCCCTGTCTCTCTCTCTCCGTCTAGGCTTTCGTCGATTTGACAAAAACCAACTGGCACGGTTCCTCTGCCCTAGGGACGGATGCCTAACGGTTTTCCTCCCTTCTCTGAGCAAGTTTTAAACGGCCGTCTTGACATCTTTGCTGCGTTTGACATTTGGCAATCTTACAGGCCATCTCCGTTGCCCGCATTCTCAGCCTACGGGACGCGCAGTCCTGGGCCTTCTCGTGTCTTATAATTTTTAAAAATAAATGCATTCTGTCATTACTCCTGCCACCGTCGCATATTTAGAGCCTGTCGACTTGAGCGGCCGTATATTTTTAGTGGGATTTTCATATTTATGCGCTCCTTCGGAATGCACAGCTCAGTCAGTTCCGTTGACAGGCAGGCAGTGGGGAGGGTAAGTTAGTTTGTCAGGCAACACGGGCCCCTGCTCTCATTCTGTTCCTCTGTTTGTGAGGAACCCACTGGTCCTCCCCCCCATCAACAGTATTCGCGCCACCACATTTTTACCGCTGCGTTGGAGCTAGCTTCCCTATTTTCCACAGGTATTAAAACTTCCATTTCCCCTCATTTTTAATTTAAAAAAAATTGAAAACTTCATACATGAGTATCGTGTTCATACCATGTCTCCCCGTCCTCTCCCTCTCCAACTCCTCTTGCATTCCCCCACTCCCTCTCAAAATCCATGACATCTTCTTTTATTATTATTATTATGTGCATTTGCAGATATATATGTGCGCCCACACGAAGACACACAAGTAAAAATAAAATAAATTTAAAAAAGAAAAACAGAAGAAAGAAACCCATACTCAGGAGAACCTGGCCTCTGCTTTTCTGCCATATCTTCACAAGGAGAGGGTGGTTAGAAGGGATAGATGTTTGCTCTCTTAGATCAAGGCAAAGAAGTCGCCTATTGGAAATATGACATCAGTGGTGTGTGGAGTCCAAGATGAACCGAGACTCACAAAAGGGTCCACAGAGTAAGTCTACAGCATAAAGTCTTCCTGACTCATTGGAACCAGTCTTTCTTTGCTACCTAAAAAATATTATTTATGTTCGTGTGTGTGTGTGTGTGTGTGTGTGTGTGTGTGTGTGTGTGTGTGTAGGTGCCAGGTGAGGCCAGGGGAGCCAGATTCCTGGAGCTGGAGTAACAGGCTGTTGTGAGGCTGCCCAGTGTTGGTGCTGTCACCTTAACTGGCCTCTGCAAGAACTGTGTGCATCCTAGACCGTGAGCCATCCTGGCAGCACCGCCCCGCCCCCCATTCCCGCCCCCATTGCTACACTTCCGTACTGACTTTGTGTGGCGTGCACATGGCAGCTCAAGCCTGACTCAAGATGCTACCACTGCTACCAGAGACAGATCAGGGTTCTAGGAGACAATGTATTTGTTTTGTTTCTGTTAGTGCTGGGCCTGGAAATCAAGTCTTGGGCATGCTAAGCAAATACTGTATCATTGAGCGACTGGGGTTTTGAGGCAAGGCCTCATTATGTTGCACAGGTTGGTTTGGAATGTAACCCTCCTGCCCTAGCCTCGGAGATGGGAGTGGGAGTGCCTCCGCTAGGATGACAGGTGTACACTTAGATGCCGACTCCATTTCCAATCTTTTGTGGTTGCTAAACATGCAGCGGTTTGGCTTGGTTTTGTGGTTTGAGACGTGAGGATCTCCCCATGTAGCCTGGGCTGCTGGCTTAGAACTTGCATTCTATAGTTCAGGCTAGCCCAACACTGAGATCCGCCTGCCTCAGCCTCTGGTGGGATTAAAGGCTCGTGCCACCGCAACCGACACACTTGCGATCTTCTAGTCTCAAAGTTTGACACAGTGGCTTGCAAAAACTACAAGGATGCCTTGTTTTGTTTTTATTTTTTGTTTCTGACAAGTGAGTTAGGTGAACGTCACTGCCTAGCTCAAGAAATCTGCTGCCCACCCCACTCCCTCCACGCTTTTGTTAACACTGGGAGAATGTCCCACCTCGAGTGTGGCCTCACTGACCTTGGTCCCTTTCCCTCCTGGTTCATTTCCACTCATGGGTGCCACACTCTCCCTTGCCTTGGGGAGGGGGGGTTCACTGTATCCGGCTCAGCTACCTGGGAACTTCTTAGCTCAGCTCGGTGACGCGGTGGGCTTCACCTCATCAGTTCAAACGTTTACCTGGCATCACCCCAGCCTCTTTATTTTATTTATTTATTTATTTATTTATTTATTTATTTTGTTTTTCGAGACAGGGTTTCTCTGTATTGTTTTGGAGGCTGTCCTGGAACTTGCTCTGTAGACCAGGCTGGTCTCGAACTCACAGAGATCCACCTGCCTCCGACTCCCCGAGTGCTGGGATTAAAGGTGTTTACCACCAACGCCCGGCCCCCTAGCTTCTTGGTCGGACGGTCTGGTGGTACCTCCCTTCTCTTCAAGCATTGGGCGTCTCCTTACACTTTCCTTACCTAACGCACGGCCCTCCACTATAATGTTATGTTGTCGAGAATACAGACTTTGTCTGCACAGTCTTCTGATGGGAACCCAAAGCCATAATAATAATAATAATAATAATAATAATAATAATAATAATCGCAGCTCAAAAACTATCAAGCAAGTACAGCATGGCGGCGCACACCTGGGGTCCCAACAGGCAGGGATGTGAGGATGGAGGGACCATGAGTTCCTGGGCTAACCTGGGCTCTACGGAGAGACCCTGTCATCAACACACCAGAGCTCAACAAAACACAGCAGAAACAGGAGACCGGTGAATGGATTTAATCAGCTGGGCTATTAAGTGTCGTCTGAAGGTCTGCTCGTTTCAATGGGCTCAAAGCCTCCATGGACAGTGTAAGCCAGCCTCTGTGACTGAGCAGGAGCCCCCAGCCCGCATTCTTCCCTAAAGGTCATGGTCATAGATTTACTTCTTACAGTTCTACGCATGGAACTCAGGGCCTTGAACAAGCTAGGCTAGGGCTCTACCACAGGGCCACGCCCTGACCTATCACTGGGGGATTCTAGGCTAGGGCTCTACCATAGAGCCACGCCCCGACCTATCACTGGGGGATTCTAGGCTAGGGCTCTACCACTGAGCCACGCCCCGACCTATCACTGGGGGTTTCTAGGCTAGGGCTCTATCACAGAGCCACGCCCCGACCTCTATCACAGAGCCACGCCCTGACCTATCACTGGGGGATTCTAGGCTAGGGCACTACCACTGAGCCACGCCCCTAGCCATACCATTTTTAGTCAATAAAACTCGACGTCTTCTTTCTTCTTCTTCTTCTTCTTCTTCTTCTTCTTCTTCTTCTTCTTCTTCTTCTTCTTCTTCTTCTTCTTCTTCTTCTTCTTCTTCTCCTCCTCCTCCTCCTCCTTCTCCTCCTCCTCCCCCTGCCCCTCCCCCTCCTTTTCTTCTTCTCTATTTTGGAGACAGTCTCACACTAGCCCAGGCTGACCTGGACTCACTTTACAGATCAGAGCAGATGTGAACTTACAGTGGTCACCTTACTTCAGCCTTGCAAATGATGAGATTGCAGGCGTGGACCGCCATGCCCAGCTTTGGGATCTTTTTCATTCACGTTAGTATCGTAAAACTTTTTTTCCTAATACCTTTATCATCAGGTATGCTCCTGGCCCAGAGAACTAGGTGGATTCTCACACTCCTGGTGTCTGCAACCCAGCAGGCTCCTCCCAAGAGGACTCAGGTTCAACTCCCAGCACCTCCACGGCAACTGTCTGTTAACACCACTTCCAGGGGGACCTGCTGCCCCCTCTGCTGGATTCTGCTGGCACTGCACACATGTGCCCAGACAAGCACCCATAACATAAAAAGAAAAAAGAAGAAAACTGAGACGTTTTCTTCACCAAACAGGCAAGACCGCTGCTCACAAAGACAGCAGACCACCACACTGAGGGCTCCCTCGCAAATGGCTGCACTGACCATTACCCACAACCCCCAGGGTGAGATCAGGTGCTGGAATGAAAACCCACATCATTGAGCACTAAATGAGCACCGCTTATGTAAATAATCTTAGCAGCAATAATAAGAGAGATAATTGCTCACAGGTGTCACTTCCTGGGGGGGCCACCTTTTCTTCTGAGAGTAAATGCTAATAGTTTCATTCAATTTATGAGTCTTAATTAGCACACTGCTGTTCTAATTATTGTGCGGGGGCCCGGAATCATCCCCCCCCGCAACCCCTTTCCCTCTCCTGCACACCCACACCCCATCAGCCACTTCCCTCCTTTATGAATATGCACTTCTGGGCATGTGCACACATCTGCACCTGCCAATCACACGGCACAGAGTGATCCGAGGCGTTCGGAAAGCAATCTGTCAGTCTCCGCCACGGGCAACGGCTCTTTCCCAACTTCCCTTCTTTTCCTGTGCGCGCGCGCGCACACACACACACACGCACGCATGCACGCACGCACATAAATGTGTCTTGATTTTATCTTTACGATGTGCTCGTTTATTTACCTTCTATTTTATGTACATTGGTGTTCTACCTGCGCGTGTTATCTGCGTGAGGGTATTAGAACCTCTGACACTGGAGTTACAAGACAGTCGTGAGCTAGGAATTGAACCCGGATCCTCTGGTAGGGCAGCTGTCTCCCCAACTCCTGCGTCTGGATTTCTATACGGGTCTTCATGCTTGCTTTTGTTTGTTTGTTATTTATTTTGGCACTTTACAGTTGGGTGTGGTGTTTGGAAGGCTAAGTGAGGCAGGAGAGTACTGAGTTTGAGGCTAGCTTGGGCTACAGAGCACGGCATGGGAAGGGGGTGGGGGGCGGGGCGGGGGGAGAGGAGGGTGGGGCGGAGAGAAGGAATGGACCAGAACCTCAGCACCCTCATCGCTGGTGACTTACTCTTCAGATCTCCGCCCCCTCCCATTTGACCTTCAAAGCAACGAAAGGCGCTGGGATCATTGAAAAGAGCTTTATTTAGTATACAATCTCCATACAATTCAGCACAACAAATTAGAAACGCTTCTCTCTAAGCTTTCCCCAGCAGAGGGCCTGACATCAGACGGGCACTCTCCCCGCAGCAGCCACAGGCTATCGCAGCTGGAGCAGCTGTAGGCGTATGATTGACAGACAGGGCCGGAGAACACTTCACGCTCTTCCTCTGGCCACAGCTGTGATTTAAAAAAAACCAATGCTTCAAGTACGCTTTGGCTAAAGATGAGCTGCATTTTGGGGGAAATATCTTTGTCTCTTTAGTGGCCTCGGTTTTTGTTAATGCTTGGCTAACACACAGGAAATCAAGCGGTGGGGGCGGCCGTCCTTACTTAGCAGGAGCTCTGTCAGCCACGGGAGCAGTAACTGTCTGCCTGGAGGTTAATGGGGGGACCTGTCAACCAGCGGTGGACGGCAGTAAGTCGCTGATCTTCTGATGAGAAGCTGGGGGGCTCTTACTTCACGGGAGCCCTAGCCTGCAGGTCTTTCTTGTGTAAGTCACACCAACCGCATGATTTGGGAAGAACTTTTTTCCTCCAGTGCTGGGGACAGAACCGAGTACGTCACACTCGCTGGGCAAGTTTTCCACCTCTGAGTCCAGCTTCCAGAGTAGACATTCGGAAGGCGGGAGGACCACATGAGGAATCCAAGCTCATTCATTCCCTTCATTTTCATCCTCTCCCCCCCACCAATATTTAATAACTTTCCTGATCACATTTAATTTCTTATTTATTTATTTTTTGGTTTTTTACGAGACAGGGTTTCTCTGTATTGTTTTGGAGGCTGTCGGACCAGCCTGGCCTTGAACTCACAGAGATCCGCCTGCCTCCACATTTAATTTTTAAAAACTATTTTCCTTTTATTTTAAATTCTTTGTCTGTGTATGGGAATGGGCACAGGAGTCCAAGTGCCTGTCGAGGCCTGGAGAAGGACCCCCTGGTTGCTCCTGGAGCCAGGGTCACGAGCAGTTGTGACCTGGTCAGCGTGGTGCCCGGAACCGAGCCAGGGTCTTCTCTGCACGGCCCATATACACCCTTAACTCCTGAGCTGTCTCTGCAGGCGTTACATTTAAAAGCCATTTTCATGGGGAAACCCACCTTATCAGAGTATCCGATTTACATTTTTTGCGAAAGTACCTCTTTGTCTGTCTGTCCGTCTGTCCATCCGTCTGTCCGCCTGTCTGCTGCAGTGCTGGGTGGCCATCAAACCCAGGGCTTTGTGCAACGCCGGGCAAACACCCCAGCCTCTTGTGGTTGGGCTCTGTACTTAGAATCAGAAGCAGAAAGTGTACCCATGGGACCATGGCTGGAGCTAGGCACCAGGAGCGCAGACGCAAGGCAGAGGCCACCTGCCGGATTGCAGCAGGCGGCTCCCAAGAGGGCTGGAGACTTGAGGCTCCGAGGAGTCACACGTCACACACAGCGTTAATTAAGAGCACTTCTGTTGTACTTGGAGGTTCTTCCGCGAACTCGGAAGCAAAGCCTACTGTTTGTTCTATCTGGAGTCACAACTGAAATGCTATTACCCAGACGTGACAGTCCCCAGGGCCCAAACAGAAGGGAGTGAGGCCTACGGGGCTCCAGTTTCAGCCGAGGGTGGGTCCTCTTTTCTCCTGGGCGCTTGATGACAAGGTCACAAGCTGTAGTCCTGATCTGAGCTAAAAAGTATTAAACATGATTTGCTCACCAAGAGTAGAAACTTGTCCTGTACACATCACAGTGTCTCGGGAGGGCGCCTGTGTGAAGACTGGGGGTTTGGCACTTCTCAGTTTTCAGGAAATGGTTTGGCAGCAACGGCGCTGTGAGGAAATCGAGCGCCCACTAGCGTGACTTGTCACCCCGGTAAGGGTGTGCATCCAAAAGTTAAGTCCACGGCTCTTGGATACCAAGACGCCAAACACCGATTGGTGATAACGAGCACATACAGGAATGTTTAAAACAAATGCAAGCTCACCCACAAAGTAACAGTCATGGGGTCTCTGTGATGCCTGTCCTTGCTCTCCCTTAAGAGTAAGGCACTGGCCCAGAATGTTCCACCAGCACCGGCAGCTGTGTCAGGCACGCGGCATTGCTGGCTTCATTAAAGTTTTGGCACGAGCGAACGCATCTGCTTGCTGCATTACCCCAAACTGCAGTGGTCTCCAAACTTACGAAGGGGTCCAGAAAAGGCAGGATTCCAAAGTTCCAGTGGCCGTTGATGTTTTAGTTAAACGAGTTTTGCATAAAAACCCTGAGCCTGATGAGACAAAGAAATGCATTTTTTTGGAAAGCTACTTAAGTAGTAACCGAACAGCGGAATCACCGGAGCGCGTGGTGCTCCCCGACCCGGTTGCTCAAGGGGATTTATTGCACTAACGCGTGAGGAGAAACCTTTAAATCACTTCCAAATGGCAAGAGCAGGAGAGAAAGTTAATTTCATTAGTTTTCTTGATTTAATTAAGTGGACAATATGCCTTTATCAGCAGCTTTTACATGCCCCTACTATTAGAAATGAATTATAAAAGCGATTATCAAAAAACTCTGAGCAGGTACACTCCTCTCTGCCGTTTACAATCGAGTGCAGCTTGGAGGCACTTGGTCACCTCTTAGGGAGAAAAGTGGCATCTCCGGCCGGGGCCGAGAGGAAAGACTGGAGACCACAGGTCGAAGGGTATGAGAATACCACACTGAATTTCAGGGGTCAGGAACACAGCATCTAAAAAACCCTCCCCATACAATGCAAGTTCCTAGGCTATGAAAAAATACAAAGGCTAAAAACACAAGAAAGTTTACAAAGTTCTGCAAACCCGGTACATTGAAATGAGTAAGAAATGAAGCAAAACTAGTTTACTTGCAAGGGAGACTAAACCGCACCGATGGGTTTTAAAAAGAGCCTGTAACAGTAGCACAGGCTACCCGGCTACGTGCACTTCCGCCCCACAGACTTCTAGTATGAGACCTGTGACACTTTGTTGATTTGAGACAGGGTCTGTCTACATAGCCCAGGCTGGCCCAGAACTCACTATATAGACCAGGCTGGCCTTGAACTCTCGATAGATTTGCCTGCCTCTGCCTTTGGGCACTGGGCTTAAAGGAGTGTGTCCAGCATCACCCTGACTGCTGTGCCCAGGATTAATCCACACACATACTCTAAATCTGCCCCACACTTCTGAACATGTGACAGTTTAGAGAAAGACCTAACATGATTTGTTTCTTCACATTCGAAAGCATGATAGATTGGGAAACGTTACAAAAGTTTAACGAGACAGGACAATAAGCTTTTTAAAAGCCACCGATTGGGTTCAGTGGTGAAGAAGTATCAGTAACTGAACCGTGCAGCCTGCCAACTAAACTAATTCATAACCGGCTCGGGGTCACTGAAAATCACAAGTATTTCAGATCTTACACAGGCTCTCATTTCCCAGGCCACCATAGGGTCACACATAACTAACTCCCCTGGTGGCAAAATCCCCCATCCAGCCTCGGGCAGGCGCACACAGTCAGGCGAATGGACGGACGCTCATGGGAAAGACGGACAGGGTGGGAAAGACAGACATCAGTGGAAGGGTCTGGATAGAGACAGGGTGGTCTGCAGCTGCTGCAATCCCTGCCAGTCAGGGCCTGCTCCTAACTCACAGACACGTCTCAGTCAGCTGTAGATGCACTGCGGTTTTACGAATGGACAGTTACTTATTTCTGGACAGTTTGTAGACGTGGAATGTCTTGTTCTGGAATACTCTAGTGAAGTGAGCTGCGTAGGATGGCGGATTCCTTTTGATCTCCTCACAGAAGCGAGGGTGGTCAGCAGGTCTCAAGTCGGGGTCACTTTCTCCCGGCCCGTCCATCTCCTGAAACCAAGACAAACCCAAACAACTTGAGTGGTGGTGGTGAGACCTCGTCTGTCCGCCCGCCTGCCTGTCCCTCCCTCCGTCTGTCCGTCCACCTGCCTATGCATCTACCCATCCACTCTGGGTTTTGCTTATTGCTTTGCCTAATTTTGAAACAGGTTCTCTCTTTGTAGCCCTAGGTAGCCTGAAACTCCAGATCAATGCCTGCCTCCACCCTCTGAGTGCTGGGATAAAAGGCATATACCACCACATCCCGTAGCCTGGTTTTGGGGGGACAAGACCTCACTGCGTAGCCAGGCTGGCTTAGAATCTTTTTTTTTTTTTTTTTTTTTTTTCGAGACAGGGTTTCTCTGTATTGTTTTGGAGGCTGTCCTGGAACTCACTCTGTAGACCAGGCTGGCCTCGAACTCACAGAGATCCACCTGCCTCTGCCTCCTGAGTGCTGGAATTAAAGGCATGCGCCACCAACGCCCGGCTGGCTTAGAATCTTAACGCTCTTGCTCTAGCTTCATGAATGCTGGTACTGACGGCACCTGTCACCACAGCCACCGGAAAGAAATAGTCACATTTACAAAGGTAGCAAAAATCAGGGTAGGTGCCCGGCTTTCTGAGTGCCGGTCAGCAACGGATGTTTCAATGCCAACCCCACTCAAGAGATCAGATGGCCCACCTCACTCTCCTCCCTCCAGGGAACACACCACGGCTGGAAAGAGTCCCGTGTCACGAGCCTTGTCGCCATTAAGGGTGGATCAGAAGCAGAACTCACACCTCCCCGTGTGTCCCGGTTAGTCTTGTGTCAACGTGGCAAGACTGGAGTCATTTGAGACAACAGGACGTTAAGTAGGGGACAGCCTCCATCGGACTGCCTGCGATCAAGTCTATGGGGCCTCCTGCTGACGGATGTGAGAGGGGTGTCCTCTGTGCCACCCCTGACCTGGTGGTCCTGGGTTCGACATGGAAGCGGGCTGAATAAGCCCCGGGAAGCAGTACCCCTTGACAGCCTCTGGTTCAGTTCCTGCCCTGACTTCCCTTCACGAAGGACCGTAAGCTGTAAGACGAAACAAACCCTTTCCCTGTCTTAGTTAGGGTTTTACTGCCCGTGGCAACTCTTACAAGGAACACATTCAAGTGGGGCGGCTCCCTTAACGGTCTCAGAGGTTCGGTTCATTATCATCCTGGCGGGATGCAGGCAGACGTGCTGGCTACACCCGGATCAGCGGGCAGCAGGAAGTGGTCCCAGTGTCACACTGAGGGAAGCTTGAGCAAAAGAGACCTCAAAGCCCGCCCCTGCAGTGACACACTTCCTCCAACGAGGCCACGCCCCTTGGGGGCCATTTTCTTTCAAGCCACCACGCCTCTTCCAGGTTGCGCTAACCGAGTCACCCGTTCCTAGAAGCACACCATCCTGTTCCATCAACAAAAGTTGAGCACAGAGGGGGCTGGAGAGGCGGCTCAGAGGTTAAGAGCACTGGCAGCTCTTCCAGAGGTCCTGAGTTCAATTCCCAGCAACCACATGGTGGCTCACAGCCATCTGTGATGAGATCTGGCGCCCTCTTCTGGCCTGCAGGCATACATGCAGGCAGAGTGCTGTATACATAATAAATAAATAAAAATCTTAAAAAAAAAGTTAAACACAGAGAACTACAATAACTGGAGGAAATTCCCCGACTCAGATGCAGAGTGAGGAGAAGCTACCCTCCCGCGCGGGCTCACACACACCTGCAGGTGCGTGTTCCGCTCAGCTTCCAGATTCAAGGCAGTCACTGCTCTTTACTTCCCTTGGGTAAAAAAAAAATCTGAATTTCTAATTCTCACCTTCAGGGAGACCATGTGTGGGTGGTGGAATAAGAAGGGATCAGGATGTGTGGCCCACAGAGCTGGGGGAAAAGGGTGACCCCCACTGCCTGCCACTCAGAGACACGCCAACAGGACATTTTGGAGCAACGTGCCATACGGAGCAGAAAAATACTCTTTACAAATAAGATGCATTGCAGTGCTGCATCAATGCAAAACAGCCAAAGGTTGGTGGCGCACGCCTTTAATCCCAGCACTCAGGAGGCAGAGGCAGGCGGATCTCTGTGAGTTCGAGACCAGCCTTGTCTACAAGAGTTAGCTCCAGGACAGCCTCCAAAACCACAGAGAAACCCTGTCTCGGAAAAAAAAAAGCCAAAGGTAATAGGTGAGCTTCCTGAGTCAAAGGGCGGCAGGCCAGACCTTCCCCGTCCCCGGCTGTCAGTAACGAGCAGGACTTCTACAAACGCCAGGCTCAGACTGTCATTCACACGTGTGGTCTACAGTGACGCACGCCACGTGGGATCCGTCTTGGATTTCTGCCCCTCTCTGAAAGGCCCCCGAGGCGAGGAAGCAACATGCTCACGTGTCCGTTAGCTATGTCCAGCAAATCGCGCAGCCGGCAGCCCCTTTGGTGCCTGCGTTCATAGCAGATGCTATCTTCGAGGATCACAAAGTCAGCGCCAAACGACCTCAGGAGCGAGTGCACTTCCTCTGGGGACCTCTTCGCGTATATCTGATAGACCTTCAAAGTGAGACAAAAAAAAAAATGGGAAAAGGGCACACATCCCCTCTCAATTGCCTGGGAGTTAATGGAGGAAGGGAGGGGCCATCCATCCCCCAGGGGGCGGTGCTGAGACCTGACACTCAAATCCCCTTGCTGTCCAGGCCACTCTTGTTCTGTCAATCACAGTCTGGGGTAGGAGCATAGGGAATTTCCAAATGGATATTGTAATTATTTAATAGGAAGAGGGACCAGGAGTCACGCTGAACACGTCTAGTACAGACAGATGTCAAAAAGACCTGGATTCAGAGTGAATCATTTCAGGCTTTGAATATATTTACCAGATGACAAGTTCTAAGAATTAGTAAGCGTGACCGAGTCAACAACACAGGCAGATGGGTGGCACTATTTGGGTGTGTGTGTGTGTGTGTGTTGTGTCTAAGAGGGAGACGGGCTTCCCATCACAGCGAGTGGGAAAAGGGCCGCTGACCTCGCTCTGTTGGAGCAGTCACTGTTGCTTTGTGGCTGTTACATTGTTTCCTGTTGGCTCAGGAGACCCAGGGTCTTGGGGGGGGGGAGGGGGCCCTGCTCTATTCAAGTTCACCACTACCGCACCTGGAGCAAACCCTTCTGGGAGAAGGCAGTTTGGGGCGTGGCACGGGGCTGTGAGAGGTGTGGCCCTGAGTCGCGACACATGGCTGTATGTGAGGGAGGGCCTGACGCCCAGTGGGGCATCCCCAGGGCCGGGTAAGAAGGTAGGGGCGATTTGCCTGTTATCACCGCTTAGGTCGGCAGGAGGCCTTGGCTAAAGTATACCCAGGATTCCGAGTCCTGACCGAAGGCGAGCCCTGGTGTCCACGGGACATCGGTTTTTAGAGCTCTACAGCTGGCACCTCTGGGGAGGGTGGCACACAGCTATCCTTCTGTATCTCCGCAGGCTAAGTGGGCTGGCTAACTCCCAGTAGAACCTTCTGTCCTACCACAACAGGTGGGTCAACCTGCCAACACTTGAGCCAGATGAAAACCCCTTTAGCAATTTGATAACATTATGAAGCAGGGGCTGGAGAGATGACTCAGAGGTTAAGAGTGCATACTGTTCTTGCAGATGACTGAAGTTCAGTTCCCAGCACCCATGTCGGGTGGCCTAAAATTGCCTGTCACTAACTTTAGCTCCAGGATCTGATGCCTTTGGCCTCTGTGGGTACCCGTACACACATGCACGATCCCAGCGCTTAGAAGACTGAGGCAGGGGGATCACAAGATTGAAGCTATCCTGGGCAACAAAATGAGACCCAATATAAAAAAATGAAAAAAAGGTGAGCAGCAGTCTGAAATATCCAGCAGTATGAATCCGCGCTGGTAAGGACTCGGGAACCAGGTACCTTCTGAAACTGAAATGACCCGTTGAGAGGGTGCCTGGTTGAGACCGAAGAGCCTGATACACCAGTAGACTCGTACGTTTCCCCTCTCCTGACCGCCCTGTGCATGTCTGTGAAAGACAGGAACGGCCTGAATGGTTGCAGAAAACACACCACACCCACATAAAGTCTTTACAGCTTTAAAAGCGGCCGGGAGGGGGCTGAGGTTGCGGCCCTGGTAGCAGTGCTGGCCCTCCTCCGAGGTCGCCGTACTGCAGACTACCACGGACCTGGTATAGTCATCCCTGAACACAGAAGAAGGAAGGTGGACTACGGTAGTTCTTGATACGGAGACTAAGAAAAGATGGGGCTGGAGAGACGGCTCAGTGGTTAAGAGCAGACACTAATCTTGAAGAGGACCCAGGGTCAGCTGCCAGCACCCGCACCAGGAGGCTCATAACCACCTCTACCAAGGCTTCAGTGGGGTCTGACGCCCTCTTCTGGCCTCTGTGAGCATTGCACTCAAAGGCACATACCCACACACAGACACACACAAACATACATACATACATATATGCTGTTTGCCTTCTGGGTAGGCAGCGGGTAGCTAGGACACAGGGATGGGGTGAACATGTTTTGGACCATTCCCTTCTGCACGCTCTGAACTTTTAACTATGTGGCTGTGTTACTTTCTTAAGCAAACACACACACATACACACACACACACACACACACACACACACACACACACCAGAAATGGCCCACAGCTGGTTTACGAGACAACCAATACATCTCCGCTTCCATCCCTTTCCTTCCAAAATCACAAGCTCCAAGGGCTTTGGCCTAAACGCTGCCTCCCACACACCCCAAGGTGTTTATCCCCTCAGCCCTTTCCCCTACCTAAGAGGAGCTATGTGCCGCACCCGCCCTAAAAGGCAGCGTCAAGAGACCCAGCCCCATGCCCTAATGCTCTGACTCCTTCCCTCCTAAGCCTCAGGCTGGAGGTGTGCAGCACGCAGCCCCTCATCATGGCACAGGGAGCCCCGCCCTCTGCCCTCAGCGGCGGCGGCAGGACAGGGAGGGAAGAGCGAGCATGGGCAAAGACGGGCCTCACCGCTTGGGTCCGCTCTCGCAGGCTCTTGTCTTCATAGTGTGGGTGATTGGTGAGGGTCCGGCCCGTGCACAGCTTGACTCCAGCCAGCAACTGCATGCTCCCGGCAAACACAGCCTTTCTTGGCGTATTAGAGCTACAAGGTTTCAGAGCATGGATTAACTTTTTTTTTTACGAGACAGGGTTTCTCTGTATTGTTTTGGAGGCTATCGGTCCAGCCCGGCCTCGAACTCACAGAGATCCGCCTGCCTCTGCCTCCCGAGCTGGGATTAAAGGCGTGCGCCACCACCGCCCTGCAAACATGAATTAACTTAGCACTAAACTTTCCAAGAAGACACCTCCCCAGCTCTGAAAGGGAGTATGAAGCGTGTGTGGGGGTGGGGGTGGGGTGGGTGGGTTGTCACATGAATGACTCGAAGCGGCTGATTTTGACAGTTTCACTATAATGTAGCCCAGGCCTGCCTGGGGCTCGGAATCTTCCCGTCTTACCTTCAGCTCACTTCTTATGTTTTCTGTTCCCTAGAACAAGGGCTGAGGAGCGTCTCGTCTCGCTCTACGCTTTGTCGGGCTGGCTTTTATGACGGCTGGATGGGAGGTTAAAAGACGGTCCTAGAGCGGACAGGAAAGCTAGCTCCTGAACCCACAGTCTGCAGGATTCTCTCCTGCCAATGCCCGGAGAAGTCCCATCACAAGATCTCAGGGGCTGAAGCTGCCTTCCGAGCTCCATTAAAGGGCAGCTGAGCGTACCGGTAAGACACGGGAAGTGTCTGGAGAGATGGTTCAGTGGTTAAGGACACTGACTGCTCTCGTAGGAGACTCAGGATCAGTTCCCGGCACCCCGCGCAGTGTCTCACAACTGACTGCAACTCCCATTCCAGGGGGCAGGGTTCCCTTTTCAGACTCCCTTTTCTGGCCTTCTCAAGCCATGCATACATGATGCATATATACACACCATGCATGCATACATGTGTGTGTATGTGTATACATGCATATACATATATGTATGTGTATATATGTGAGTATATATGTATACATACATACATATATTTGTGTGTGCACACACACACATATACACACATATATACTCATATACATGCAGAAACTCATACACAAAAAAGTAAAAAGAAGCCAGGCACTGGCGGCGCACGCCTTTAACCCCAGCACCCAGGAGGCAGAGGCAGGCGGATCTCTGTGAGTTCGAGGCCAGCCTGGTGTACAGAGTGAGTTCCAGGACAGCCTCCAAAACAAATACAGAGAAACCCTGTTTTGAAAAACCAAAAGAAAAAAAAGTAAAAAGAAATAATAAAATAAGAAGTCAGGGAAGCCCAGCTGATTGTGACTCAATTCCATGGGGTTAGAAGAGCAAAATGAAACCCAGAATCCAGTGTAGACAACATTTGAGGAAGAAAGCCCTGCAGCCATGGAGGCAGAGTTGGGAAGCCGCCTCTAAGAGGTAGATCCACCACTCAGAGAGGATGCACATTATCTGACATGGGAGCATCCTTCCTCCTTAGCCCTGATAAAGAAAATAATACGCAAAGCCAAAGCTTAAATAGTGTGGGTACCCTAAGACCGTCCCACGAACTTGTTTTCCAATGACCACAAGCTCTGACTGTTTCCTCGTGGGCCGTGAAGAGCCATGATGGAGAACGTGGGAGAGACGCTACGTGGAAGGTCTTTCCCTTCCCTCAGCCCAGAAGAGAAGGGATCTTTTTTCCTTCTTCTTTTAAATTCTGACACTGAGTCTTGCCGCACAGCCCAGGCTAGCCTCTACATCGCCATCCTCTTGTGTCAGCTTCTGTGGTGACGTGATGACACACGTCTGGAAAAATAAGAGCCTATAGCTGACTCAACTCTCGTCCTTCTGGGGGAAAGCTGGGAGCTGTTATGGAGGACTCCTCCAGCCTCTGCCCCAAACGAGGAACGTTCCAAGACATGTTTATCTTTGGGTTAAGAAACAGGAAGGCTGAACCAGGTGACGGTGGCTCACGTCTTTAATCCCGGCACTCTACAGCACTCTAGGGGATCTCTGTGAGTTCGAGGCCAGCCTGGTCTACAGAGTACATTCCAGGGCAGCTAGGGCTGCTACACAGAGAAATCCTGTCTCAAAAAACTAAAGAGAGAGAGAGAGACAGAGACAGAGACAGACACAGACACAGAGAGACAGAGACAGAGTAGAAACAGAGACAGAGTAGAGACAGACAGAGAGAGACAGACAGATAGAGAGACAGACAGATAGAGAGAGACAGAGAGAGAGACAGGCACAGAGAGACAGAGACAGAGTAGAGTAGAGAGAGACAGAGAGACAGACAGAGAGACAGAGTAGAGAGAGACAGACAGACAGAGAGACAGAGTAGAGAGAGACAGACAGACAGAGAGACAGAGTAGAGTAGAGAGAGACAGAGAGACAGAGAGAGACAGACACAGAGAGACAGACACAGAGTAGAGAGAGAGAAACAGAGGGAGAGACAGAGAGACAGAGACAGAGTAGAGGAGAGAGAGACAGAGAGACAGACAGAGAGACAGAGTAGAGAGAGACAGACAGACAGAGAGACAGAGTAGAGAGAGACAGACAGACAGAGAGACAGAGTAGAGTAGAGAGAGACAGAGAGACAGAGAGAGACAGACACAGAGAGACAGACACAGAGTAGAGAGAGAGAAACAGAGGGAGAGACAGAGAGACAGAGACAGAGTAGAGGAGAGAGAGACAGAGAGACAGACAGAGAGACAGAGTAGAGAGAGACAGACAGACAGAGAGACAGAGTAGAGAGAGACAGACAGACAGAGAGACAGAGTAGAGTAGAGAGAGACAGAGAGACAGAGAGAGACAGACACAGAGAGACAGACACAGAGTAGAGAGAGAGAAACAGAGGGAGAGACAGAGAGACAGAGACAGAGTAGAGGAGAGAGAGACAGAGAGACAGACAGAGAGACAGAGTAGAGAGAGACAGACAGACAGAGAGACAGAGTAGAGAGAGACAGACAGACAGAGAGACAGAGTAGAGTAGAGAGAGACAGAGAGACAGAGAGAGACAGACACAGAGAGACAGACACAGAGTAGAGAGAGAGAAACAGAGGGAGAGACAGAGAGACAGAGACAGAGTAGAGGAGAGAGAGACAGAGAGACAGACAGAGAGACAGAGTAGAGGAGAGAGAGAGAGAGAGAGAGACAGACAGACAGACAGACAGAAGAGGTTTGCTGGCATGACCATGTACACCCCCTTAACCTCAGCACTCCGAGACAGGTGTAGTTCCAGGCCAGCCAGGTGCTGCACAGAAAGACCCTGTCTCAAAACCAGAACAGAACACTAAGGGAAAAAGAAACAGGGGCCTGCTGATCTGGGCTAAGACACATGACGCGGTAGTCCCGAAGACTATTTGAAATTTAAAAGGAAAGCCGGCCGGGCGGCTGCAGTCTTGGGGAAGCAAGGCCCGCAACCTGCTCCCCGCTGCCTCCTAGGACTGAGACGCCTCCTCACATCCCTATCTTTATCCTAACTCAACACTAAGAATACAGCCTGAACGCAGGCCAGCGAGGGCCTGTGGGTGTCTGGGGGCAAGACACGCCATGCTTCGAGTGATGACACTTAACAGAACGAGTTACGTATAGAAACTGCGAGGCTTCTTTCTAACCATGACACCCATCCACTGCTGCGTTCCAATAAGGCTTCTCGGGCGAGGGGGGAGGAGTGGATGAAATCACAATGAGCGGGGAAGGAATGACAGACACATCATCATCCCCCCCCCGCCGCCCTCGCCCTCACTCAAGTCTAAAACTTCAGCATGAGCTTGGCTGGCTTCACTGACAGGGCTGTCAGCATTCTAAGCAGACTCAGGAAGGCGGGTCAGAGAGAGAGGCTTGCTCTGTCCTCCAGATCCACAGTTCACAGGGAAGTCTGACAGTGGTCCCACACTGTCAGAGGAAACGGGGGTTGGGAAGGCAAGGGGGAATGGGGGGCTCAAAGGCATGGGGAGGAGGAGAATGTCTCAGGACAGGAACTTAGGGGAATTTCAGCTCATTCTAATTAAGGCTCACTTAACTCGTACCCTGGTCCTTGTCTCACTTCCGGCCTCCATTTAGAGTCTAAAGTTTAGATATACTGTAAACTTTAGACTGTACCACAGTTGCTAAAGGGAATAAACCTTAATGAAAGGCAGAGCCATTATTTACCCGGTCCAGGATCCGCCTGGATCCTCTCAAGGGTATACGCCATCCCACTGAGGTCAGCCTACAGTAACATATCGACTTAGACTACACAGGAAGATGCGCCTGCATCCCTGTCTGGCAGAGCAGGAGACACAGGGGGTCCCGATTTCATTCAGTCTCAAAGCGTCAAGCTTCAACAGGCTAACTACCGCTAAACCAATGGGCTAACGGAACACTTCAAATAGTTTAAAGGACTATACGGATGGGGGAAATGGTTTGGGCGTTGGGGTGCTGGAGTGATTAAGAGCCCTGGATGCTTTTCCAGAGGGCCCTGGTTCCATTCCCAACACCCACATGGGAACACGCACGTCTGTAGCTACGGTTCTGGGGATCCGACGTCCCTTTCTGGATTCTGAGGGCACTGCACACACACGGTGCACATACATATAATACAGGCGGGCACACACACACACACACACACACACACACACACACACACACACACACACACTTGATCAATGAGAGGCCCACCAGCATTTAAAGTCTGAACACAGACGGCGTCATCTTTAAAACATGCGCAACTCTCTCCCCTCTGATTAAAAGCAAAAGCAATTCAGTGTGTCTTTTCAGTTGTGCTGAGAACACGCTACACATGGAAAGCTTCTTGATTGCAGAGAGGTTACGTCTAGCGACATACTCCTAAAGGCAAGTCATTAAAGTGCCATCTTTCAAAATAACCCCATCTACAGATCCCTCTTAATTGCACAAGAACATTTCCTGGCAACAAAAATGTTGCATTCCAGGATAGACGGGCACAAGGCATGGCCGGGCCACGCAGCTGTCAGAGTCATCCTCGCTGGGGCAAACATGCTTTTCAGTAACACCTAAGGCCCGAGGAGAGACACCGCCTGGTCACAGTTAAAGCCTGTAGAGGCACCGCCTGGTCATACCTAAGGTCTGTAGAGACACCGCCTGGTCACAGTTAAAGC